TCATACAGTTCTGCTTCTCTGATTACTTGCTCGGCATATAGCCTAAGTATGGTGAAAAGATACAATCCTGATGCACACGCTTTCATTTTGGTAGTAATGACCAAAAGATCAGGGGCATATGCAATCTGTGGAATTAAAACTACTCTTCCCAACTTGACCTTGGAATAAGACCTGTCTTTTTCACCCACTAGCAATTACAAAATTTGATGGTAAAGAATGTGTGCTGGTTTTGGTGCCTTCAATTAAAAGGGTTATTTTGTAACTCCATTATGTGGCATAGTCTGATATAAGTGTCAATCTATTCCAAAGTTCCTGTAGATAGTTTAGGTTATACGCAAAGCTACTCTTGGTAGCTGTGCCCTAATCAGGCCCAAATGATTGAGGATCTCATCACTGTTACTAGAAGTCTCCCGATCACAAGGCAAGTGAAGTGGCTTTTTTTTGTTTGTTTGTTTTGGGCTAGGGAAACAGGGGAGAGGGTTGAATCTTAAACTCAGTTAGAAACATGTACTTAAGGATGCTCTCTGTAACTCTACACAGCAGAATCATAAGCTCCACCTCTTCCCCCAGTTACTTTACTGAAAATGTACTATTTTACTTGCTATCTAGGTTTGGCATCTTTTTCATAACTGTATGATTAATAGTGATTTAATGAACAACTAAGTTTATAAGTATCTTTAGGAACAACAATCTCTGGCATTATAATTCCCAGCTTTAAAATTTTTCATGTAGCAATCCTATATTAATTGACACAAGAACAACTGAAATTGTCATGAACAGAGTAATATCAGTATATTGTTTTATAGCAAAACAAAGCATTTTATATAAAATTATATAATGACTTGTGGATTGTTTGTGGAAATGTCTAGACAAAAGACATTATGAGATTGTTTCCAAAGGAAAAAATTACAGAGTTGTGGAGAGAAATTGATGAATTTTTTTCCATGAAGCACTAGGCCTTTTTTTTTCCTAATCAATTCTTTGACGTCAAATAACTTATTTTTCTACCTTTTCATTTTATATGAAATATATGTCAGAAATTTACTTTAACACTTAATTTTCAGCATCTTGCACACAGAGCACTTATAAAAACTCTGAAGATTACTCATTGGTCCCTTTCTAATAATACAGTTAAAAGAAGAAATCTTGTTGAAAAATAGGCAGTTGGAAACCCAAAGACCTTACACACAAAAGGAAAACCAAATATTTGTGGTAGTCACCATTATAAATAGATTTCACAGGAGGAAATCCAATGTAGGATTAAATAATTCTGAAATGAAAGTTAACACTTTTTAAAAAATGTGGCATTATGGGACAGAGCTAGTTCATTATTGGTGAAAGTGTTAAGTAGGTGTTCTTAGAAATTTATGCTTCTCTTTAAATTGAAATTTGGAATTTGAATTCATGGTTAAAATAACTGTTCAGTAGGATGCTAGAATTTTTTGTCTTTTTACATAGCCAGACTTTGAAACATATCTGTTTAATTTCTCAAAACCAGTACAGTTATTCTTTAGTCTAATACACCAAGCCAGGAACAACTTTTTTAAAAAAAATCTAAAATGGATTCATAGTCTAATAATTATTTTCATACTAATAATAAGAAAGGAAGTACTTTAAAGAATAACAGCAACAATAAAAACAAATAAATTAAATGTACATACACAAGTTAAAACAATTCTTCCTTCCCAAAACAAAAGTACTTCATTTTTCCAGTTACTTTTTATTATTGGCCATATTCTTGTTAGTTGCTTTTGACAATGGAGTGTTTCTTTCTGTGTACTTTTTGTGGCCTGCTAGAGAATTTTACTGTTTGTAGAGAATTTTACTAAATTATACTTCAGAAACTGATGAAAGTTACATGTACAGTCGTCTAACTCTACCTGTGAAATTGGGCAAGATGTATAATGCATATTTTGGTTGTCTTGAAGTGGAATATTGTGTTTGGAAGGCAAGTTAATTGCATAACAATCTTCATTGCTCAATAACTAAGGTGTCGTGGCACACATTAAGAAGTCATGATTGTACTCCTAGGCAATAAATCACATCTGAGCAGCTGGAGCCATATTCATACCCAATTTTACTCAACATTGACAATTTATCCATTTTATTCAGTATCTAAGGCATGTGGCTGCTAACCAGAAGGCTGGTGGTTCAAACCCACCAGCCACTCCTTGGAAGGAAGGTTGAACAATCTATTTCCGCAGTGATATCACCTTGTAAACCCAAGGAGGGGTTGCTATGAGTTGGGTCCAACTCCACAGCAGTAAGTTATCAGTAAACAGTGGATTGAACAATCTATTTCCGCAGTGATATCACCTTGTAAACCCAAGGAGGGGTTGCTATGAGTTGGATCCAACTCCACAGCAGTAAGTTATCAGTAAACAGTGGATTGAGGGTATCTGAAAAAATACTTTTCTGTTTAAGAATTGGTTTCAGTATTTCTCAATTTTGCCTGTGGGGTGAATATTTCGGTTAATTGATATGATATGATAAGTGAAATTTGAAGAAAGAATCTGTCACTTCAAGGGATTAAACCCTGGGAGAACTGAGAGTTTTATGTTTTTCATTTTTAAAAAAAGAACTTTATTGAAGATAGTTACCATAAAAATGTGTACATATTCCTATGTAACTAAATTGTCAGTATATGTAAACATGGAGCTATTGAAGAAAAAGTAAGCAGTGCACAGTCATAAAAATTATTACAAATTATTAGGTAATCACCACTAAAATATATATGTTCCAAGAAAGAAATAGTGGATGCCAGTGGTAATTTTTCTAAAATAAAAGATGAATGTAGAGCAATTATTGAGTAGAACAATGTTCTGCAGGATACTAATAAATCCTTGAATAAGTGAATTAAAAGAGAAGTACCTTTAAAAAGTGACTTAATCTTTCTTTCTACTTTGTTCCTACATGTCAGACCCAGGGCAGCTCTCAATGTTCAAAAAGCCAATGCTCCTATGATTCTTAAAAACTTTAAGTTAAAAATGTCGGGAGGGTTTTATTGTTTTCCTCAAAAATAATGTGATAAAATGAAATCATTAGGTTCCATATTTTAATTTTGCTTTTTAATCTCCTTCAATCTTTATGAAAAAGAAGAGCACCATTTTGTTGTGCTCTTACTGTTGGTGCACATTATTTTTGGCCCTGCTTTCTCAGGGCACCTCCAAGTCTTTGTCCATTCCCTGTATTCTCAATACATGCACCATCACCCATAGGAGTTCTGGTGGTGTGGTGGTTAAGTGCTTGGCTGCTGAGAGTATGGCACCACTAGCTGCACTGTGGAAGAAAGATGAAGCAGTCAGCTTCCATAAAGAGTTATAGCCTTGGAAGCTCTATGGGGTAGTTCCACTTTGCCCTTTAGGGTTGCTGAGTCAGAATTAACTCAACAGCAAAGGGTTAATCATCACGCACAGGATTCCTGGTGGTGCTGTGGTAAAAGTGCTCAGGTGCCAACCAAAAGATCAGCAGTTCATAGTCACCAGCTGCTCCACGGGAGAAAGATGGGGCAGTCTGCTTCCATAAAGATTTACAGCCTTGGAAAACACATGGGAGCAGCTCTATTCTGTCCCATAGGGTTGCTATAAGTCAACAGCAGGTTTTTAAATTAAGGTGGAACCCTGGTAGCACAGTGGTTAAAGCACTCAGCTGCTAACCAAAAGGTCAGCAGTTTAAACCCACCAGCTGCTCCGCAGGAGAAAGATGTGGCAGTCTGTTTTCATAAAGATTACAATCTTGGAAATGTTGTGGGGTAGTTATATTCTGTCCTACAGAGTCACTATGAATCAGAATTGACTCAACAACGATGGGTTTGGGTTACCATCACCTATACAGCATTTCATTGCATTTTACTGTCTATATGTCTGCCTGCCGTTGCTAGACTATAAGGTATTTTTAAAAACAGAAAATACGTTTTACTTCTTTCTGATTATTTTTTCAACTAGTGCAAGGAATGGCATGTAGTAGGTGTTCAGTAAATGTTTATTCCATGAAAAATGTTCTAGACACAAGTAATAGAGAATTTTATTTCTATGCAAATACTAAAGTCTGAGTTTAGACAGTAGTTGGTATATATGTGATTTAAATGATGCCATGTTTGAACTTTAGAATCTATCTTTTGATTCCTATTTCTGATCTACCTTCTCTTTTAAAGGCAAGCAAAAAAGCAATCCAAATGTGTTTCTCTAGGCTAATATGAACATTTTTAAAAATAATATGATACTATGATTTTCACTGAACTAGTCATGGTTATTTTGGAGCTACTAGGACTTCAGATATTTGAAGTAGTAATTACTTCCTCCATAAATGTTCCCTTTCAGAGTCAAATACTGCTTTCCTATTGCATTTCAACTTTTTACCTAAAGGAAAAAGTCTTTTACTCACAATTAAAACCATGTTATATTATTCTGTGATGTAAATAAGCCCCCTTTCATTCATTTTGGCAGCCTCTGTAAAGCCTATGAAGCATCATCATAATAATGTCAGTGGCTTGATTGATTCACTACTTATCCTGTGCTAAATATTGCACTTCACATGTGCTTTGTCTTTTAATGCCCACAGAAAATTTATTATATGTAAATAAATACATACACATATGTTAATATGTACATATCTTACATCTTTATATCTAGCTATCCAAGCAGTTTCCTAAGGTCAAGCAACTGGTAGGTTGTGTGGTCAGGGTAATAATACAGGAGGAACCATCTCCACATTTTACACTCCTGATTCTCCAAAGCTCTGGTCATACAGTAACAAAATGTAATTGTCATATTTGGAATAATTCTGGATTCATCACCTGCTTTGCTTGAGTACTTGAGTTATTATCATTTGTGAAGAACATCATGTATTTCCAGAGTTCTGTCTAATCAAATACTATCATGTCACAGCAGCTAAGACTCTTAAGAGTATTTCTTCTATATTGAATGGAAGAGATATCAACTCATATCTGATGATTATCAACATTTACAAGTTGAGACTGACTGCTATCATTTATAACTTACCATAGCCTTGGGTTTGGTTCCAGAATTGGCTGCTGGGGTAGGAGATGGTAGGACAGTGGACTCCGTGTTAGAAGACAAATTTATTTGTGCCTGGTTTACTGAAATGGTATCTGCTCCACTTTCAGATCCTGATTCCAGATCCTATTAAAAATAAAAAGATAAACAACTTTGAGATAAGGGTATGTCAATGTTCTCTACACCAGCCCATTTTCCAGGCACCATTACCTTTCCATCTCAACATCCTTCCCTCAGCACATAATGATACATTAAATAGTCACTGACAATTGACTTTAACATACTACCTATGTTGTTGTTGTTGTTATGTGCTGTCAAGTAGAACCCGACTCATAGCGACCTATCTTTGGGTTTCTGAGGCAGTGTCACTATGGAAGTAGATTGCCCAACCTTCCTTCTGACATGTTACCCATAATCATGTCTTATAACGTAACAGAAATTGTACTCTTCAGAAGCTCCTCCTTTAAAAAAAAATTACTTAATAGTAACATACTCTTTTGGTAACTTAACAGTTTATTATATATATATATTGGAAAGGGCAGTAGCATAGCTAGCTAGGGAACTGGAGTAAGAGTCAGAAGGTAGAAGTACACAGACACTCTTCAATTCATTCCTGTGTGACCTTAAGCAACTCACTTAACACCCTCAGGCAACACAGTGTTATTCAGACTTTCTCACAGGGACACTATGATTGTCAAATGAGAAGACAGTTCTCATGTATCCTCACCCAGACTCGTCTATGTTCATTAGATCTCCAGGGTGACATCTACCACAATAATTTGGACAGCTCAGTTCAACTGTCTTTCTATCAAATGAACTATAAGCTACTGAGGACCAGAATCATATTTTGTCATGTGTTTAGATTTCCTCATTTGAAAATGTGTACATTAATATTATGTTCTCGTGGAGTTTCATGATACGGCTATTATATGCAAAGGCAGCTCTGGTGGCACAAACGGTTAAATGCTTGGCTGCTAACCAAAAAGTTGGTGGTTTGAACCACTGGCTCCATGGGAGAAACACTTGGCAATATACTTCCTGAAAGACTTCTGTTATTGTTATTAGTTGTTAGGTGCTTTGAGTCAATTCTGACTCACAGTAACCCTGTGCACAACAGAACAAAACATTGTCCAGATCTGTGTCATCCTCAATCATTGCTATGTTTGAGACCATTGTTTCATCCACTGTGTCAATCCACCTCATTGAGGATCTTCCTCTTTTTCACTGACCTTCTACTTTTTCAAGCATGATGTCCTTCTCCAGGGACTGGCACTTCTTGATAACATGTCCAAAGTATGAGAAATGAAGTCCTGTCATTTTTGCTTTTAAGGAACATACTGGCTGTACTTCTTCAAAGAGAGAATTGTTCGTTCTTCTTACAATCCCATGGTATATTCAATATTCTTTACAAGCACCATAATTCAAAGGCATTCCTTCTTCCTTCTTCCTTATTCATTGTCCAGCATTTATAGGCATATGAGGCAACTGAAAATACTATGGTTTAGGTCAGATCTCCTTAGTCCTCAGAGTGATATCTTTGTTTTTTAACATCTATTTAAAGAGATCTTCTGAAGCAGATTTGCCCAATGCAATATGTTGTTTAATTACCTGATTTCTGCTTCCAGGAACATTGATTGTGGATCCAAGTAAAACAAAATCCTTGAAAACTTCAATCATCTCTCCATTTACTGTGATGCTGCTTATTGGTCCATTAGTGAGGATTTTTGCTATCTTTGTGTTGAGGCTGTAGTCTGAAAGCTGTAGTCTCTGATGTTCATCAGTAAGATCCATAAAGATTACAGCCAAGAAAATGCTACAGAGAAGCTCTACTCTGTTACATGGGGTCATTATGGGTTGGAATTGATTTGATGGTATATAACAATAACAAAAATTATATGCAAAGTGCATATAATTGGAACATAATAGTTTTCAATAAATGCTAGCCATTATTATAAGTACTGTTATAAATATCATTATGTACTTTTAGTATGGAAAATGTGGCCAAGCTATATCTGCTGAGTGAATGCAACCTCTACAAAGGCAGGGCATCTAATTTAGCAAATGCTCTTTGTGCTGTAAGTGACCTGTTGGAGCAAAAAGGAAAGGAGTGAGGAGAGTACAGAGAGGAAGAAGCAAAGGTAGTATCATTTAATCTGCAATTTTAACCTAAGAAAATTAGGACTTAAATATTTCTATGTATACCTTTTCTACATTTTGAACTTTTTAATATAGCATGGTCAAATGTCATATGCCCTGCACCTCGAATTTCTAATCTTATGCTCTACCATTTGCTTGTTTCTCAGTATGCTCTAGCTGTATTGGTTTTCTTTTTTTCAGTTTTAATACATGAAGCTGTGCACTTTCTGATCCCTTGCCCTAGAACTTACTTTTGCTGACCCCTTATTTCATTCAGCCTTTATCTCATGGCTAACTGAAAGGTTGGCAGTTTGAACCCACCAGCTACTCCACGGAAAAGAGATGTATCAGTGTGTTTCATTAAAGATCACAGCCTTGGAAAAGTAAGGGACAGTTATACCCTGTCCTATAGGGTCATTATGAGTAGAAATCAACTAGATGGCAAAGGGTAAACAGGTTTAGAGAAATATCTGTTGATATTTCAAGATAAAATAATTTCTATCCTTCAACCTCCATAGCATCATAACATTTTATTTTATAAACTTATTACTGTTTATCTATCATCAATTATATCCATCCAGCCAACCATCTCTCTCTCTCTAATCCTTGTCTCTCTCAGTTAAAATTTATGTCTCACAAGACCAAAAACTTCACTTGTCTTGTTCACTGTTACATCCTTAGTACTTATAATAGTGTGCATGGTACACAGAACATGCTCACTAAATATTGTGTTATGAAAAAAACACTAGATTAACAAATACTAGTATCTCTCTTTCCTTAATGCTCACAGTAGAAGTGGTTTGATATTTTCTGGTTTGAAATTAGTAGCTCTAGTGGCATAGTGCCTAAGGCATTTGACTGCTAACCAGAAGGCAGGTGGTTGAAACCCACCAGCCACTCCTCAGAAGGAAGATTGGGCAATCTACTTCCATAGAGATACTGTCTTGGAAACCCAAGGAAGGGTCACTATGAATCGAAATCGACTGGATGGCAGTGAGGTTTTTGGTATGTAATTATACATACCAAATATGTATATATAATTCCTACGAAGGAACTGTTTCAAGTGCTGAGGAGCAAGGATATCTCATTGAGGACTAAGGTGCGCCTGACACAAGCCATGATATTTCCAATGGCCTGGTATGCATGTGAGAGCTGGACAATGAATAAGGAAGACCGAAGAAGAGTTGATGCTTTTGAGTTGTGGTGCTGGTGAAGAATGCTGAAAGTACCATGGACTGCTAAAAGAACTAACAGATCTGTCCTGGAGGAAGTGCAGCCAGAATGCTCCTTGGAAGCAAGAATGGCCAGACTTCGTCTCACCTATTTTGGTCATGTTGTAAGAAGGGACCATTCCCTGGAGAAGGATGTCATGCTTGGTAGGGTGGAGGGTCGACGAAAGAGGGGGAGGCCTTCAACGAGATGGATTGATATGGTGGCTGCGATGATGGGATCAAGTATAGCAGGGATTGTGGGGCTGGCGCGGGATTGGGCAGTGTTTTGTTCTGCTGTGCATGGGGTCGCTATGAGTCGGAAACGACTCGATGGCACTTAACAACAACAACAACAACAATTATAAATCACCAATAACACTGAAACTCAGTCTTCTCTAACTGAAAGGGTACAAGTGACATAAACAATGATAAGTATAAACATATAGTGTCTGTATCTGTGTGTATAAAATACATAACTTCAACCAAATTTCTGATGTTCTCAATGATTTCAAATAAGGAGCCATCTAATCTTTTATGCATGGAAAAGACTGAAAACATTTTATCTGAAGAAAAATATGATCATTGAAATTTCCGATCGAATCAATATCAAATCATCATCAGCTAATTTATAAACACCAAATGGGTAGTCATAAATAGCAGGTAATTTATGTCATTTATAATTACATTTATGTATATCAGAAATCCTTTATATTAATTTTACCTTCCTGTTTATAACCTAACGAGGTGAATAAAAGGCATTTTTCTTTAAGCATATGATGATTCTGAGGTGAAATAAAAAATTTAAAAATGTATCACTGATTGTGTTTTTATTTTTTACAGGTAATACTTTATAATCATTATCTGCATCAGTGCTCACTAATGCCATGTGGAAGGTATTATTCTCATCACTTGATAGATGATGAAGCCGAAGCTTGATGTAAGTAACCTGACCAATGTCATACTCTGTGGCAGGGCTGCCAGTAAAACTCAGGTCTGCCCAACCCCAGAGTGCAACCTACCAATGTAATCACTATGCCACTTTGCTGAGAACCCAGAACACAACTAAAGGAGTGATTTAAACAAGACCATGAATTGTGGCACAAAGGAAGAAATGACCAGTTCCAATGTGCTAATCATTATCAAGAAGATACTTGATCTAGGTTCTTACAAAAAAAAGAGAAAGCCATAGTTTTCCTGCATATTGAGTGGGAGAAATGCACATAGGCAGTATGAGACCCTTGTTCAAAGTGTGGCCTCTTAGATGGCATAATGCATTTCATAACTGCTACCAGCCACTCCCCAGAAGGAAGGTTGGGCAATCCTACTTCCATAGTGATACTGCCTCGGAAACCCAAGGAGGGGTCGCTATGAGTTGGGGCCGACTCGACGGCAAATAACAACAACAACAACAACAACAACTGGTTTGCAGTGGTTAATCTAGGGGGCTGAGTGGGTCTGATGGGAGCTGTACTAGGTTGCCCCTGCAGGAACCAATATGTGAAGGGAACATATGCTATGCTAAGAAGGGAGTCAGGAAGGTGATGGGGATGGGGAGCCACTGGGGAATTTTAAGCAGAGAGTGACATGATCAGATTTCACATTTTAGAAGAACAACTCTGATGGGAGTATGAAGGTAGATTATAAAGAAGTGAGAGGAAAGTTGATAGAATTGTTAGGATACAAACCAGGAGATGTTCCAGAAACCATCCACCACCCACTGCCATCGAGTTGATTCCTACTCACAACAACCCTTTAGCACAGGGTAGAACTGCCCCATAG